CTCGGGAAAGGCCTTGAATAGTTCAGAGAGGGGAGTATTAGTCTGTTCAGTTTTGTGTCAGACTTGTTCTTGCAGTGGGCTTGGAAAAAGGAACACATACAATTATAAAAAATCAAGAGTAATTGTATGCTATGTTCAAATATGTAGCATCAACTTTGAAAATATTTATGTTAATTTTTCTCTGTGTGTTTTGGGAAAAAGAAATAGGAAGAGTGCAGAGACTTGAGTGGTCTTAATGCACTTGAGACAAAAGCAAATTTTTTGTCTGTTTGCCATCTGGCTGCTTTTATTTATTCATTAGCTGAATAAAAAATCCCTGTATATATCAGTACTGAGTCTAATGGGAAACACACTCTGGACGTACTGTGAGAACTGGTTCATGTACCCTCGTGTGCTGGCTAGTCACAATCCTGAAAAAATCTTTTCACCAAGTATAATAGTAAAGAAATCAGAAAGCAGTCATCACATGGATAAAATTATGCTTATGTTTACGAAAAGGCTTATTTTTTCTACAGAAATTGATGCCATAAAAGTTGTAAATGCTTTTTAACTGCAATAGAAGCAATTAAGTCACTTTGTCTTGTACATTTAGCACTGGCAGTTTTTGAACTGTGTAATACTGAGAGAAAAAAGCAGAACACAATGGAGAAAAGTAAAATAGAGGTAAAAGAGCAGAAATATTGATTTGGATATTGTTTTGCAGCTATAAACCTAGAAGGCATGTACCCATACATTCTAAAAGCAGGTTGCTATGGTAGCTGGTAAATGGGAAGGATAAGTATTTATTCTAGCAGCTTCCAAAGTTGTATCAGGTATTTCGCAGAATGGAAAATCGTGTATGGTCCTTCCCAGGGCTTTCAGCCGTGGAAAATGGAATGAGGAGAACGGAAGAGGATTTGCCAGCTCCAGAGGACAGGGAGTGTCAGTTAATGCCCAGCATGATTTGTTACAAAGAGCAGGAGGATGGCATGAAGCCAGAAAGGGAATTAAAGGTGGGGAAGGTGGAGGATGTTTTGGTTTTAAGGCAGAAAGAATCTAGAGGCTTTCAGATTAGGTCTTCCTTGTGAGTTAGCAACATGATGGCTATAAGATTTTTTTAATCTGGAGATCAAAGAGGAAATGGGCTTTGCGCAAGCATATATTTGAATAAAACAGGCCTTGCAAGTCATTTGGGGGTGTTTCACACCCAGTGCTGTGCGAGAAGCTCCTAGTGACCATGTGAGCAGCAGGTGCACAGGTTGCAAGCTGGATGTTATTAGTGAAGCTGTGGAGAGGGTAGTGTGTTGCAGGAAAACAAAGTGAGAGAAGCAGTGAGCAGTGGTGTAATGCAAAATGCTGATGAAACATGATGTTTGAGTTAGGTGTGCTGACTCCTGGAATGACTGAATGTGCTTGAAGCAACCAGCAAGAAAAAAGATCTTGGCAATGCCATTTTCGATGGATAGAAGGAAATGAGCTGGGTATTTACAGTGGATTGTCCCTGCCCCTTGAAATCTCAAGGGAATTTCTTCTTTGGCAATGGACAAGCTTACTGAAGTCTAGAAAGCTACTTCAATACAAATCATGTCTAATTATCCAACAGCCTATCTTCATTTATTATATTCTTTTAGTATCTGTAGAGAGAACAGCCCTGCTCTATGCAGCCATCAGTGCAGCGAGATTCTGCCAAAATACCTGAACAAAAGACTTACTACTCATTAGTTGGTGGGTGTCTGTTGGGTTTTTTGATTTTATGTCAGAAAGCTACTTTTAAATGCCAGCCTGCTGCTCTTCTTAGTTGTTTTGCCAATTGGGAGTGATTCTGCAAGAAATAGCAGATATGTACAGTAGTAAAACAATTGAAGACCAGGTCCAGGTATGATATTTTAAAGGGTAATTCTGCTGGTGTAGAAAGAAATGCTGCTAGTATTGAAAGGACTAACGTCAACACAATTTAAAACAAACAAACAAACAAACAAAAAAACCTCACAAAATTAAGCAAGGAAAACATTCAGAAATAAAAAAGGTTTCTGTTAATTTTCTTCTTAGGAAAGAATGTTTCAGAATAGAAAAGCGAGATGTGAGGGTTTGCAGTCTGCTCGTTATAAAAATGCTTTATTGACTCATATGAGTAGGTTGTCATCAAAGCTGTATCCATGCTTCAGAAAAGGATGGGTGACAGTCACAGATGAAGAAAGGAGAAATCTCTTCCCAACATAGACTGTTAGAGGTGGC